GCTGACTTAATTATTAAGTTGGTTTGGCAGATTTGCTTAATTTGAGTTGGCCAAACCAACTTAAGAAATACAGTGTCTTAACTACCGTTCCCGTAATAATGTCTTGGTGCGATGTAGTTTTCGGGGTGAACTTGGAGGCCGAACGTAAATGACAGTTTCTAGCCTATGTGTCATTATCAGCCACCCATATCGTCTGAACGGTTTCCTCGCCGGAACTTCGAGACAAGGCAGAACGTCATTAATCGCTTTGTGTACTAACGCCGTGTTCATAGTGGTCTGAGAATAGAGTGGCTGACAGATTAGCGATTTTACGAATGACAGCTGGTGCCCTCTGTGCCGGCTTCAGGTGGCCTAACCACGGTCGAGCAACAGTAACCTGCCAAGGTCATCACTGATGGATCCTAATCGGGTCAGATTGCATGCGCACACACTTTAGAGTACGATATACTACGGGGGGTGTCTCTGCAAAGCCAGATGATCTGTGTGCATGCGGCATCCAGACCAGTTTTCGAGTGACTTCCGATACAACTTTTATCCGCCAGGTCAACCTGATTTAGAGTAATCGGTTTTTGTGAATTTCCATTACTGTCTATAGGCTAGGCTGTTTACGGAGTTCATACGCTTGAAGGCGGCCTCTTAAATTACATACATTTAGGCGAAAGAGGGATGGCCATGTCTCCACGGGCTTTGGTCTTCCTTAGGCGAAATGCAACACAACTTCAACAGGCTACGAACATCAACACTCTTTGTCTCGGTAACTGCGACGGCAATATCACTCGATCGAGTTGGTGTCAGGACTGTCTGTAACTGTGCATCTGACTAGGGCCAGATAGATTGTGGTTAGAACAAAAGTGTTCCACCGGTCCCTCCGCCAATGTCGAACGTGGACTCTGCAGCATAATAGGTGCAGAAACGGTGACTTCTGGGTGAATTAGTTGGTTGCATTGGTAGGTTGGCGCCACCCCTCTGGACCATCTGAGCCCGATGCCAAGACAAGTTCACAAAAGACCGAAGGCGGGCTCAGACGCAGTGACAGAGAAATCGCATCTAAGCGTGCCACACACGAACTGGTCCCACATATAACAAGCCCTGTTTTCACACAAAGGAAAGGGCGGAAAATCGGATCCCACATACGTGTGAGAGTGCCATAGTATTTATATTAAGAGAGACAGAGGCATTGAGACTGACTTTCAGCCCACCTGTCGGTCATTCCACGCACAAAGGGCCGACGGCGAAGTCTGCGTCGTATCGTTAGTTGGCACCGCTTCAAGCTATGGTTTTCAGTGCAACCTGATAGATTCAAACGCAGCAATTTTTTTCATAAGGAATATGCGGTGACGTGGAATTATACTGAGAAAAAGGTATGCCATGTAACTGACAACAGCTTTTTGCGGGAGTTAAAAAGCCTAAAGCAGGGGAAGCCCTGATTTACCATCTTTTCCGCCTGACAAAGTGGATAAGCAGCTCAGTGGAACGTTGTATATTGCCGCCGTTGTAGGTAACTTGTTGAGTTCCAGCCCTATTTTCCACCCAAATGAAAAAGGGCTTGGAGGCGTTCGAGGTCTTCTTAGATCAGTTTCTCTTCTATTAACCATCCTCGGCTAGTAATACCTCACCTCAGATGCTGGCGGACCCCGAGTTTAAGTCCGAATTAGTCAATGACCGCAAGAGATTCACGTCACCGCACAACGCCCTCACATATGCCAGGGAGTATTCAGTCGTATGGGCGTGTCGCATACCGCTCTTATCAGCTAGGCTTCCCGAATTTCAAGAAGTTCTCCCCGTATATAGTGTGCTGCGTCCTTAATGATTGAAGTTATTTGTTGTCCTTATGATACGTTCAACGCGGCTCCTTGACTGCTTACATCAATAGCGTTTGGCACAAAGATGCCACGTATGAGATCGTCAAACGCGCAGTTTTGTAACTATCATATTTAAATGTTACATGCTAGGATTCCTGAATGAGTCGGAAGTAGCGAGAAGTTTTTACCGACGAAAGACAGAGGCAAGGCCAAAATGGTTACTTGTGGATTATTAGCTGCCATCAATAAATGATTCCCCATTCTAGATTGTTTTACCTCCGAGGTTTGAACCTGCAACATGTTGGTGACAAGTCAAACGCGCTACCAGCCACCATCTTTCGATTAACTCGAAATTAAACTCATTGTTAATTTGTACTGAAGCCTAACTTTAGTAGTATTTTCTCTTCTCGATATTAGCATCGTGAAATTCGGATGCATCCGGCTGACCACAACAAGTGAGCCATAGATTAGCACTGTAGCCGTCAGAGCTGCTTGAGATACTTACTACCCGAAACCGCGTCGACAAAAACGATTAGTTTAGACTTGAAACCAGCCCCTTTGACTGGGTCCGGAAGGATGAGTTGACTGCCAGCCACAATTCTGATGTTTAAATGGATCTAAGCCTGGGCTTCGACGAAAACTCATTCCAGCTGACGCCAGCATGAAGAAATCTGCGCGATCACCTCCAGACTGGTGTTGCTGATGTTGAGTTACTTATTTCGGTGCTGAATTCACCCCCAGACAACGGACTCCTGTGAGAGGTCGACAGCTCATATGGATAAATCAATGGCTCGAGCGATAAAACAGGTTCCTTCTTCTTTCCTTATACCTACGCTAACCATTCGCCTCAAGACGTATGACTTCGCATGGAAGAGTACAAGAACCTAATCTGCAGCCTTTTCTTAACCGCACTCCACTCAATGGAGCCGATAGCGTTGGGTTAATGAGACTCACAAGGATGGATCGTAAGTCCTTGTAGTTGGTGATGATGCCGTTGTGCACCACGGAGAAGGCGGCAGTTTTGTCCGAAAGGAGGGGATGAGCGTTCACTTCACTTGGCACACCGTGCGTAGCCCATCGAGTGTGCGCGATTCCAGCATGCGTAGTAAGGATTGGATCATCATGCTGGCTTCCCAAGCAATCTAACATGGGAGAAGTGGAGGAATATCGAGAACTCAATAAACTGGCTGACTGAAATGGTTGCCTGCAAATATATCACTCAAAATACATTAACGGAGGAGGGGGGGTCGAAGGATTCAACAAACAGCAGCAAACGGTCAGTTATATTTCTAACTTTTGTGGAAAAACTGTGATTTTTGGTTTGCAAAAAAATAACCCCTTTCTGGTATGACTTAAAACTGTTATCACCTGCCTTAATTTCGTCGCGGGGGGCTGTAGCAGAATAAATCTTCCGCTCTGATATGTCACATCGTCTACCAATCGGGACATGGCCTAATGATTATGACGAGTAAAACACTTTTTATGCAGAATAGTAACAAGTTCCCTGTAAAAACTAAAATACTTTGCAGGTAAACAGAGTCTACTCAATTTTTTCAGCCACCTGTAAGATGACACGCTTAGCTTTGTGTAGGCTGTTATGGTCTAAAGAAACAAAATCCAAAAAACACCTACCTTTGATCGCCTTTTCCAGTTCAACTACTTTGCCCGTCCTTTTCACAGTGAGGACGAAGTTATCCTTCGCGGCCTCAGAACAATCTGGACAGCATTTGTCAATGGCTATGCCAGCTGAATCATAGCCACGGTATTCCAGACGTTTTAGGCCATTTAGTAGGATCTCAGCAATACGTTTTCGTGAGACCGGAGTCTCGTAGTTTAGGTAAGCAAATATACCTAAAAAAAGAACGCAATGGGTTCCATTCAAGAATCCAAATTTTTCTCATTTCTGTTAGCGCATGAGTCAACAGTGGTGTTATTTGCAAATGGTAAAACCAGATGTAACTGGTACAATTCCCGCTAGGTATTATCTAAAAGCGATAGGTAAATTGACTTAGACTCCAAACCCCTCGTTTTTGACTCAGAAGATTTAGCTAAACGATTGTGCTATCTTTGCTGGTTAAATCGTGACATTTAAGCCTACTTACACCATGATAACTAACCGGCAGGAAGCAGAACTGGGTTACTCAACCTTAACTTACAAGGACAAACATAGTTGACAGTTAATCAACCTAAATCACAGTAGAAGACACGCCGACTTCTTCAACAAGTCACAGAGTCAACGAGAGCGACGTAGCTCAGTCATGACAGGTCGACAATCTGGATTTCACTACAGTTAACGTCTTTTCCCGAACTTGCGCCGAAAAAGAGCCAACTAACCAAAATAGTCTGGGTGTTTCAGAGAAAATCAAGGTTTCAATGGCTGCTTTTGACTTTACTGCTACTTTCTAGTGGTTATACTTGCACGCCAGTTACTGGTTAACCCGAATACATTAGTGCGCTGTGTTAATAAAAATGATAACAAATAAACTAATAATTTTTTTTAAGAACAGATAATCGAAACCACTTCTCAGTTAGATAAATTAAGTACAACAATCGATATAAAATATAATATAAAAGCTGGTAGAACACGCTAGAGCATACGCATTCCGCCCCTGAAGCCTGGGGCCTATTCAACCGTCTTTTGAGCTACTTCTGTAGATCCCTTTTGAAACAACTGCATGACTAAGTTTTATAAACAGAAATTGTAAGAACAACTGACCTTCCGAGCTAATACAAAGATTAGCTACTCCAAAACAAAAAATGCAATAATATCGCTACTTTTGTGGAGGTTCTACGAGCAAATAATGACCTAGAAGGTCAAAATTCTGCGTAAATACATTGATATTTTTGTTGTTAATGATTTATTTTCAAAGAAGATAGAAGTCGTGCAGCTTCCGACTGAAAGATGTTTATCACCATTTTTGATCGATGTAAGACACGTAAGGAAGTATTTTTTTCAATTTTTTTATCACGAGAGATATGCCGTTCATAAAAGTAAAATCCTTGAAATGGTAATCGGTAAATCCGAAATGAGAAAAACTGAGTTCAGCTATCGCTATATTCCTCTAAGGACCGTAAAGATTAAACTTCGCACACATAGCAAAGATAATCAGTGATGCAATTATTTTTTGCATACTATGATGAGAACACGACTGGTTTCAGAGCGGAATGGCGAGGCATATTTCTGATAGTTTATTTTGAATGGACGCCTGGAAATCTTGTCCAATATACATAAAGGGGAAACCACGTAATAAAATAATTTTCTTAGATCTTTTTTATATGTGGCATCTTCTAAATTTCGAAGACTGCGGCTTTTTATGTCCACATTTCCCGTCCTTGTTGATTTCGAAAATTATTATAGACTTTGAGTAATTATGAAAGAATTACTGACCATTCGACGCTTAAATGTAGAGTTCATGGATATAGAAAGATAGATAATGCTATATATAGCATTATAACCCCAGTTGAGAAGTTAGTCATTAACTTATAATATACATAAGGAGAAAGGAAACTCTAAAGTATTTTATGCACCTATTTTTCATTCAATTTGAACGAGCTTAGGAAGTTTGGGTTGTT